GGTTATTTTTCGGACCGCCTGGATAGGTACGGATACCGTATCTGTACTCGACAGAGTGGGATGGGGTGTCAGACAATGTACAGTAGGTAGTCGAACTTAGACGTCGATCATCTATTGAGCATTCTCTGAGTTCAAATAAGCCTTTAGTTCATACCTTGCGATAAAAGCTATATTTGTCGACATGGCTCACAGCAGCGCTGTAATAGCATCGAACAATATCATGGTTGCTCAAAATATTGGGAACTCTTCAAGTGTGACTTTTGGTCATCGAACAGTGGTCTGGCTATATTCCAGTGACGCACGTGCAGGCACTATACCATGTCAAGTCAATATAAGACAAACAAGAGTAACAGTGTGCAAACTTAGGGTCTAAGTTTCTCGCGTTTTCGTACAAAGGACTCTTTCCGAAAGCGAGGCTTTATCAGGATTGACCTTATGAGAAGTGATAACACATCAGAGTGAAAGGCATGCAAATCAGTAAACAAGCTTGGAAGGACAAATTGGGTGGGTTGTGTCTTTTATATAGTACAGCGGAACGCTATCTTGCTCCAGCACTGATCTTCGGAAAGTAGAAGGGCAAGAGTCCGGACCTAGTCCCGGTACTCCACAACTAATCGTGTTTACGACTCCAAACATCAAAGCAGTGGGCATGAGGCACGCCGAGAAACAAGACAAGGGATCCCATCTGTGGGTGTGACACCATCTTCGGAACGTTACTCATCATGACTATGGCTCTTCAGGCTTCCAGGTACGAGATTAAGCTCCAAAGACCAAGCGTCAGCCCAACCATCTTAACTCCATACCCCTCATGAAACACCGTTTCTTCATCATGCTGATAAATCATTACAACGCCCAAGGAGTACGCCGACATGACTCTGTCGGCAACTCACATATGCCATGCAGATCCACTGCTTGCAAATTTGGTAAGCCATGCTCTTGCAGCACAACAGAAGCGCACCATCGTAGTTCCGCAGTGAGATAACAATCTCAAGAGTTTCTGCCTCCCCTAGCTTCGTCATTCTGTGGGACATACTCAACAACTCATGTGTTCAAACCGCAAGTTTTTCGTGTCAATTCTTTATTTCCGAGGTTATTCTCCTTGTAAGATGACCGACCATAGGTCACACATAGAAGATTTGCTAGTAGTAGAAGCACAAATCGGCTTGTGGGAATCCATGTGAAAGCCAACATTTTCTCAGATAGAAACCATACAGCTGAGGTTCTACTTGATCATTGTCGAGGCAACGCTTTGGAAGGTCTTGTCATACCAAGTAAATCTTCTGCATGCCGGCTCCAAGCACCACCATTTGCTTTGCAGAATCCTGGTAGCTCTGACTGAGACTTGTAATTCACAAGATTTGGCTTAAGTGGAAGGTTCGCAGACGCGACATGAGACGGGGCTAAAAGGTCGAATTGGACCAATGCTTGAGGTGGCAAGCCAGCTGCATCCTGTTTCCTGGCAGCTTTCTTACCTCTAGTCGCAGGATTCGGTATACGCAGTGGCTGCTTTGTTTGCGGCTGCTGTAGAAGTTGTTCTATGCGAGGCTGATCTTCCTGCGACTGATCCTCATCCTTTGGTGTCTTGTTCTGTGAGGGGTCTTCACTTGACGGCTCTGGAGAAATCTCTTGTGGGTGCGTCGCAGGTGCAATGCTCCTCGATAATTGTGATAGATCCCGGCATCTACTCGAAGCGGTCTCTGCTATCTTGTCCGTATTTTCGCATGCCCCGACGCTCGGTCGGCTGACCTCTCTTATGCTAAACTCGGGAGGTGTCAAGTCCTCGGCAGGCATGTTAAAACCAAGTATCTCCTTACTCTTCACACTTTTCCTCGACATTTTCGTAATCCTAGGTCCAGGACATTTTTCCGGCTGGGACTTGGGTTTGGGCTTTGACTTGCGCTTTTGGACCGGCTCGTTGTCACTTGATGAAATCTCATCTGGGTTATCGGGACCATCAGACTTGGAAGTGGTTTCGGCTGCCGTGATTTCTTCTTCTTGATCGCTGAGCACCACTTGGGCTGCTTTTGCTCGAGTAAGCCGACCTGGATTTGTGCGCCGAGGTGGTGTAAGCGAAGCTCTTCCTCTCTCATAGATAACATTGGTCGAATCTTGATTTTCGATTTGGGGGTCCGCAGCCTTCGAATCTTGTAAAGAGCTCAGGTCCTCGTTCGGTTCTTCGTCCAATATGTCGATCGCTACAGCTGGGTCAGACTTTCCAATAGGCCCAGTGTTGTTTTCTTTATCGGAGCTAGGCGCTTCGAGCAGCATGGCAGTCTCCTTATCTTCAGCGGTTGGCGATATATCCGCGACTTTTGCGTCCTCGTCGGGTGTTCTGGATTCCTCTGGCAGGGGAACTGGAGAACCAGCAGGACGAGCTGCAATGTACTTGTCGCTTACTGTTCCTGAAGGTGGGAGTGATCCTCCCGACAACGCTGTTCTCCCACCTCGCTTGTTCTGCGCCATCATCAGCAGCCCACGGCGCTGTCTCGACCTGATGCGGAGCTCTGTTCTAGGCTCTTTAGCAGGTGGTGGTTCGGACGCCCCCTCTTGCGCAGTTGGCGTTTTGTCAACACTCAACGGTCGCTTAGTGCCATGCGGTTCCAGAGTGTTTGCCTCGTTCACCCAGTGCGATTTTGGTGCATTAGTTCGGGGACGTGTCTGAGCGACGTTTCGTGGCGACTGCTCTTGTTCGTCTTCGCCAATAAGGATGGGTTCGTGTGCTATTCTCTCATCTGTTTCTTCCGCAGTTCTCCGACCTACTGCACTCTTGCCGTTCTTGGACTTGTTTGGGCGTGACGGGTGAGAATCTGTTGGAGTTACTGGCGTTTGTTTCATAAGAGAAGCGCCTTCACTTCGTGCCAGCCATTTGAGGAATGCATCGTCATTGGCCTCTGTTAATTGCTCTCGGCTTCGACATAAATATCCCTTTTCTGCGTTGCCTGACGCAGAGTGGTGGGGGTTTAGTCGTCTATTCGAGCCGGACTTCTGTCGAGCGCTATCAGTTCTAGGAGGGTTTTGAGCTGCATCTTCACGTTGCTCAGATTGTTGGACGTCCTGCGTGGACGAAATCACATTGTCTTGAGCGTTTTTAGATTGAGGTCTTGCTTTTCTCGATGTTTGGGAGGCATTGTTTGGAGTGGACTCCCTCAGTCGTGGGTAGTCTTCATTGAGATTTTGCTCATTGCCCGCCAGTAGTTCTCTCAACGAAGCTCGCTGTGTGAAAACTCGACGGGAGGCAGGCTGTCGAGGAGGACAGCCTTCTAGTTCTTCGGGGTGTGAAGATTGGGGTTGTGGTTCCGAACTAGCGTCAGTGTGCTTTGATGTGTCCAATAACCCAGCCCTTTTGCTGGTTGACATATTTCCGGGTCTCGTGATCGTCTTGTCAGGCACGGTTTGACTGCGAGCTGATGAGATGGACGAAAAGGGTGTCAGGGTTAAAGTCGTTCCGAAAAGGGCACGAGCGTGTCCCATTTTGCTGGGCGGTGACTCTTCTTGCCTTCTTCGCTTTGACGGACGCGCATCCGCTGTGGGCGAGTCCTGTTGCTGGGCGGAGCCCTCGGCCATCTTACGCACTTCATATGGCGAATGCGGTGATATAACCGCTCTTCCAATTTTAGGTGCTCCTCCAACGAGGTCATTGAGTGGGCGATGTCGGAGTTGGAAATGGGGGGCATTTTGCTCATTCCTCGGAGTATGAGCGACTGCTGCAGTCGATCCTGGTGTCCTGACCCCAACATTTGACCGTCTCTTTTCAACCTCTTTTGCGCGTTTATCCAGCAACTCCGTTAGGTCTTGTCCCCGTTGGCCAGTACAGTCCGAAACCTGCACGATGGCAGAGCCGCGATCGAGTTCAAACTCATCACCAGGCTCAAGGTCGCCACCTCCTTGCCAGTGAGCATCACCAATGAAATGGCTCCGGTCATCATATACCATCACCCTTTTGTTGAATGTGTGATATTTGAGGACGCCATCTTGCCAGCGTTTCTGTTTCCTCTTTAAGTCGTGAGTGAAAAGGCAAATAAATTCCACCACAGTGGCGGTTGCAGGTACCGAACTAGAAGTCATGACCCGTGAGAAAAAGCTGATTGTGACGTAGCAAGCCCATCAAATGAACATTATTTCGGCATTTCGATGGTGCGCAACTGAGTGTGACATCTGGGACCCTTAAAACGAACTCGCGTACGATAAGATACGTTGTTCGAAATGGAACGCGTTGAAGAAAATCCGTCTGGGTTACCAGTGCAGGCAAACGCGACGCCAGATCACGTGCGTACAGCTCCGCCGAACGTATCAGGTACTCGGCTGCCTAGCACCTACTACTTTAATGCTTCAAGGTTACAAGTACAGTAGTGTTGTACAAAGTTGACTTAGTACTCAACAATGAACTGTTTGGGTGGAAAGCACAATAACGAAGATTGTTGATGATACTTTTCATCAGCTATTGATAAATTGGGATGCTGCAGAGCTCCAGCAGTTTTCGCTAGATGTGAAGGTACTTTCTTACCTACCCTCAAGCTAATCTCATTTTCTCTTGTGTTGATGGAGTTACTACTACTATATATTATTTATTCTGTCCACCTCATCGTGGGTATCCTTGTCTTGGACGTTGGGTTTACTAAGAATACTATGCCTGGTTCTTGAATAAAACGACGGGGTGTTTGGTCCACGGTGAGAAGTCACCATCAAGTCCTTACAAATGATATGTATTCTATGGGTATCATGTCTTGACAACACGTTCGGTATCTTATTGTACCAGATGCAACTAAATAACACGCTTATGCCACGCAGGAATAATGCCGGGCCACTGCAGGGCTCATATCCATCCAACGCCTTTCGGGAAACAAAACTAAGTTAGCTACTCGATATGCAACCTTGTTCAATCTGACTTCATATGCCTTTCTACCCCTCGTCCTAACAGCATTACTGTAACGACAGAACACATTCGCGACGGTCCCCACTATCTACTCAGATAATCACCACCACCTATAGATTCAAGATCCATTGGAGTAACAGGGCCAGGGCTTCCCAAGGGAAGCAGTCTTGGTGATATTGGTTTATGAGATCCGGGTGTGGCAAAGCGCGAGTCGCGGAGTGGCAGAGAGTTGAGTGATATGCCAGGCTTGTCGCCCGACTTGGCCGAGCTGCTGAGGAGCTCATTGGCAGCCATACTTGCTTGCGCGATCATGTCGCGCTGATACTGTTGTAATTTTCGACGTAGCTCCGTTTCGGGGTTTGATTGGCTACTTGCACGAGGGACTGCCTGAGAATCAGGACCAATATTGGATGACATAGTTCCGTTCAAAGGAGGCCGCATGCTGCTATGATTGCCGGTTCTGTTCTCATAGTTTGATGGGTAATATTTGCCCATTGGAAGTGGGTTGTCATGGAAGCCTGGGGCAAGGTATGAAGCAACAGGTGTGTTTGATTGAGACATGGCAGCACTTTGAGCAGGGTGCGAAGTGGGACGATCCGCGTAGATTGGTCCTGACTCTGAGATAAGACGGCTCATACGTGCGTCTGGATGATGCTGGAAGGGGTGTGGGCGGTGCACACGACTGTTGGGGTCCTCGTGTAGGGGAAAATATCCTCTGTCATTGCATGAGTACACTCTGGTCAGTCGATCAGGGAAAAAGTCATCTTACCCAGGCAGATCGCCCCGAGCAGACAGAGGCTCAGGTGGTGTACGAGCAGGAGCGGAAGTGAATCGCTTGAGCTGAGGCAAGTCGATAGCTATGGGCCGAGCGTGACTACGGCTGCGGGGTGTTGAGGGGGCAGATGGAGTACTCGAAGGTCGCTCAGTCTCATCTAATTGATAAGCATGTGTGAGTATATATATGCTGATGAGGTACGAATAGGTAGGGATGAAATATTGGATGGCGGGAGTCGATGACAGAAGGATCAAAAACAGGAAAATAAGGAATAACATGGGATATAAGAAGTTTCCTGAGCAAAAGCCGGTAGTGCAGGCGTCACTCTCAAACGGCCGACCCCGGGATGGTAGATGGGGCTACCCCGCGATGGCTGGGACGGGAGTGAGTGGGGAGGGGCATCAGTAGCGCCATGCATGGTCATTCCCCAGACAAGATTGACTCGTGAAAGCTCGAAATGAGGCCGACAAGTGCATATGATTAGGGGAAAGGGGTAAGGATAAGCGAAGAAGGCGATATGCAGAATAGGGGAGAAAAGGGAAAAGGTTGACCAAGCGACGTTTGTGGGTATTATAGGATGGGTAAATGGAGATGAGATGGGAATCTCGAAAACGGTGGTGCGGGAGCCTCCCTCCCGAGACCTCATCCCGCCCCGCGCTTTGCGCCAGTCAATCATGGCATGCATCATTGGCTGCAGAGTGTACTGTAGTCTGAATGTACAGTACTGTATCGCGACGTGCAACGAAAGTATGGTGGCGGCTCTTAGATGATTCGATCTTTTTCTCGAACTGATCCGTTGTACGCAGCTGGGGGTGTACAGAAAGCGAACTGGACTGCAGAGCTTATGCCATGTGTCAAGGCGTACAGGGGCCCAACTGAAGGGGTTTTGTGGCGCTGAACCAGTTTGCGGAAAGAACGTGTCTTGCTTCGGAGGTTTTTGGGCAATGCCAGTGCCAGTGCCGGGTTCAGTGCAGCGACGCCCGCCTCCGCTCGGGATTATCGGCCGGAGGCTGACCCCGACGTCCGGTCGCAAACAACTTGGGTTCACTCACTTGAGGGCAGGTGATGGATGATCAATAAAGAAATGAGAGAAGCAGAGGTGGGGTATAGGTGATAGGCAATCAGGGGTCAAAGGAGGGATATGCATTCCAGCTAATCCGGGCAAGCTTACCTGCGAAATAGGAAGTCCGAGATCCAATATCATCGCCATCAAAAAACCCATCTCGTCCTCGACTTTGCCTCGAGTGCTGGGGAATCGCTGGGGTGTTGCGTCCGGACAGGTCGAAGTCACCAACATCGTCCGATCGAGGGCTGTTGGGAGAATTGTTGTTTGAGCGATCGGAGCTGGTAGACAAGGTTCGTCCTGACATTGAGGGTCGCATTCGCGGCGAGAGGTAAGGGGACTTTATGGATCTGGCGAAGCTAGCCATGTTGTCGCAGTCGTGGTTCGAGGTTTGGAGCCTGAAACTCTGGTCTTTGGGGGAATGAAGATGTGTCTGGCTGATCAGACAGCCCGAGTCGTGTAGTAAACGCCAACGTCGGTGCATATATGAGAGGGCTACGAGTAAACCTGGGAGATCGAGTGGATAGAAAGAGCCTTGCGGTTGCGGAAGGACGATAGTCGGGAGATAAGGTAGGCAGGTAGGTAGTCTATGAATGGATGATTTGCAGTGAGGGGCAGCCGGCGTCGTAAATCAATAAAAAGCCAAGAGACTGGGTTTTGTATCGTAAGAAGAGGGCGGAATGTCTTTTTGGCAGGCAGAAGAGAACAAGAGTGAGAGGTGATGGAAGAGGGGACCTAGCCTAGGTAAGTACCTCTAGGTAGGTAGCCAGCCACTGGATTGACAACTGGAATTGAAGGAAGAGGTGGTAAAGATGAAAAATGCAAGGTATTCACAGGCCTCCGAACAATGTGAAAGGTAGGTAGGTAGGTAAGAGGAAGGAACTGTCAAGAGTAGAATCGGTAGGTACCAAAGGTGTGCCTGGCCTGTCTCTTACTCTTTCTTACTAGGTAGGTAGGTACTCTTAGAACGAGAAATGAAGGGTTCCGAAACGGTTTTGTTATCGCAAGCGAATTACTCTTGATCTTGCTCCCTCCCAACCGCCAAAGCAATGGACCCGAAAAGTGGGAATAGCAAATGACTTGGGCTAATCAGCTCCGGAGAGTCTGAAGCGAGGAACGTCGGGACGAGAGCCCAAAAACGCGACCACAATAATTAATTGTACGAACCAAACCAGATCAAATCAAAAGGCCCAAGCCCAGGTCCAGGACCAGGGCAAGGCGAAGGTTTTGGTGGATCTCTACAACCTTCTACGGCGCGCTCTAAAGCGGCTTGCCAGTTTGCTCAATGTTCCCGGCGCCAGAGCCCGCTTTTAAGTACTATCTCAGGGTTGGGCACATGTACGCAGACTTCTGACAGGTATTGTATGATCATCAACACGCGCAGGGAGTACTTTACCTAATGACCCGTGCCAGTACAAATGCCAAGGGGATACATGCGGGACGACCCTGTGAGCCATCCAATATAAAACCCAAAGCCACCAACGCCAACAAAGACACCAACAAGTGCGGATTGTTGAGACCTAGTCTACAGTACATAAAGTACCTGGCGAGACGAATTACAACCCACGGTCAACGTCCAGACAATAAGTCCCTGAGATTTGCTGTAGGGACCCTTTGAAGACCTTCCACAGGGGGCCATGGTCGATGACGACTCTTTTTTTTTTTTTTTTTT